CTTTTCTTGGTTAAACTAGTTAAAGGTTTACCTATTTTGTTGATCTTTTCAAAGAACAAACTTTGGGTTTCATTAATTTTCTCTATTGATTTTCTATTCAATATCTCACTAATTTCTACTCTAATCTATACTATTTCCTTCCTTCTGCTTATTTTGTATTCTTTCCAGTTTCTTAAGGTGGAAGGTTACGTTATTGATTCTAGATGTTTCCTCTTTCTAATGTAGGCACTTACAGGTATAAATTTCCCTTAAGCACTGCTTTAGCTGCATCCTGTAAGCTTTGGCATATTGTGTCTTGATTAGCAATCATCTCAAAGTATTTTCTTATTTCCCTTTTGATATCTCCTTTGACCTATGGTTATTTAGGCGTGTGTTGTCTAATTTACATATATCTATGAGTTTTCCTGGTTTTTCCCTGTTATTATTTCTAATTTCATTTCATTATGGTTAGAGAACATAATTTGTATTATTTCTACCCTTTTAAGACTGTTGAGTTCTGGCCTTGCATATGGTCTATCCCATAGAATGTTTCATGTTCTTGAGAAGAATGTAGATTTTCTTGCATGTTGGGTGGAGTATTTTGTAGATGTCTGTCAGTTCTAGTTGGTTTATAGTATTGTTCCAGTCTTCTATTTCCTTGTTGAACTTTTTTCTAGTTGTTCTGTCCATTATTGAAAGTGGGATTGAAGTTTCCTACTATCATTGTTGAATTGTCTATTTCTTCTTTCATTTCTGTCAGTTTTTAAAAAATATATTTTGTCACTGCTATTGTGTGCATACATGCTTATAATTTTTCTACCTTCCTATTGGATTGACTCTTCTATCATTATAAAATGTCTCTCTTTATCTCTAGTAACTTTTTTTTGTCCTCAAGTCTATTTTGTCTTGTATCAGTACAGCCACTTCACCTTTCTTGTGGTTGGTGTTCTTGTAATACATCCTTTACCACCCTTTTACTTCAGTCTCTTTGTATCTTTGAAACCAACGTATGTCTCCTGTAAACAGGATATCATTGGATCATTTTTTTTATAAGTCTGACAATCTGTGCCCTTTATTTGGATTGTTTAATCCATCTACATTTAATATTCCTATTGATATAGTTGGATTTATATCTACCATTTTACTTTATGTGCTCCATATGTCTCATATCTGTTTGTCCTTTATTCCTCCTTTATTACTTTTTTCTGCATTAAGTGAATATTTTCTAATGTATCATTTTAATTTTAATAATGATTTTTTTCACTATATTTTTGACGCTTTTCTAAGTGGTTGTTCTAGGGCTTACCATACACATCTTGTCAAAATCAGCTTTGGATTTTTATTAGCTTAATTGCAGTAATATATTAAAGTATTGCTTCTGTGTAGCTCTATTCACTATTCCCCCCTTTCATGGTATCATTTTTATACACATTACAACTATTAATGTTACAAACACAACACAGTGCTATAATTATCATTTTACCATTTGTCATCATTTCCTTAGTGCGTTACAGCTTTGCTCCTACCCACCTTCTTTGTGCTATTATTGGCAAATATATTACACACATATTACATTTCTAATGTCATAGGCCCAATAATACATATATATCTGTTATTTTATATAATTTTTTTCAAATAAGATTTAAAAAGGAGTAAATACATTAATAGTGTTGTTATAATTACATGTGCTGGTGTTCTTCGTTTGTGTGGATATGAATTACCATCTGGGGTTACTCGCTTTCAAGGTGAAGAATTTTCCTTAGTATTTTGAGTAAGGTGGATCTGCAAGCAATAAATTCTTTCAGTTCTTGCTTATCTGGGAAACTATTTCATCTTCATTTTTGAATGATAGCTTTGCTGAATATAAGATTCTTGGTTGACAGTTTTTCTTTGACAACTTCAAATATTGTATCCTCTGCCTTCCTGCCTCATTGTTTTTGCTGAAAAGTTATCTGTTAACTTTATTGGGGTTCCCTCACAAGAGATACACTGTTTTTCTTCTGCTGCTTTCCGGACTGTTATTTTTTATATGGTGTAAAGTAAGAGTCCTATCTCATTCTTTTGCATGTAGATATCCAGTTTTCCCAATATCTTTGTTGAAAAGACCATCCTTTCCCCATTGCATAGTCTTGGAATCCTTGTTGAAAATCATTTGACCACATACCTGAGGGTTTATTTCTGGACTCTCTATTCTATTCCATTGTTCTATATGTCTGTCTTCATGCCAGTGCTACACTGTGATTACTGCAGCTTTGTAACAAGTCTTGAAATCAGGAAGTGTGAGACCTCCAACTTTGTTCTTCTTTATCGAGATTGTTTTAGCTATTTGGGGTCCCTTCATATTCCATACGAATTTTAGGATGCCTTTTTATATTTCTGAAAAAAAAGTCATTGGGATTATGATAGGGATTGCCTTGAATCTGTGGATTACTTTGGTTAGTATTGAATACAATATTGTCTTCCAATTCATGAACAAAGGATGTCTTCCCATTTATTGTCTTTGATTTCTTTCAGCAATTTTTGTAGTCATCAGTGTACAAGTCTTTCACATCCCTAGTTAAGTTTATTCCTAAGTATTTTATGCTTTTTGATGCTATTGTAAATCAAAATCTTTTTCTTAATTTTCTTTTTGAATTTTCCATTGCTGGTATACAGAAATGCAACAGAATTTTTTGTGTTAATTTTGCATCTTACAGCTTTGCTGGATTTATCAGTTCTAACAGTTTTTCATGTGGAGTCTTTAGGGTTTTCCACATATAAGATCATATCATCTGTGAACTGAGATAATTTTACTTCTTCCTTCCCACGTTGGATGACTTTTCTTTCTTTCTTTTTTTTTTTTTTTTTTTTGCCTAATTGCTCTGTCTAGGACACCTGACTACTATGTTGAACAGAAGTGGTGAAAGTGGGCATCCTTATTCCTTATCTTAGGGGAAAAGCTTTCAGTCTTTCATCATTGAGTAGGATGTTATCTGTGGGTTTTTCAGAACGCCCCTGAGGAAATCTTTTCTTTTTCAAGTCAGTTGAAAGGCTTTTAAAAAATGTTGTTTTAAAAATCATGAATGGATATTGAATTTTTTTCAAATGCTTTTTCTTTATTTGTTGTGATGATTACTTTTTGTTTTCAGTCTTTAATACAGCAAGTAGTACTGATTTTTAAGTGTTGGAACAAGCTTGCATGCATTATTCCTTTTACATAGTATTGTTAATACTATGTAATATGTATGTACTGTATATATGAATGTACAATATATACATAATGCATATAATGTGTATACAATTGTTATGGACTGAATGTTTGCGTACCCCCAAAATTGATATGTTAGAATCCTAATCCCAACGAGATGATATTGGGAGGTGGAATCTTTGAGAGAGAATTAAGTCATGAAGTTGGAGCCCTCATGAATGGGATTAGTTCCCTTAGGAAAAGAGGCCAGAGAGCTAGCAAAATGTCTACCATGTGAGGATATAATGAGAAATTGGCGGTCTGCAACCTGGAAAAGTATCCTCACCAGAACCTGAGCACACTGGCATCCTAATCGTGGACTTCCAGCGGCAGAAATGTGAGAAACAAACTTCTTTGTTTCTAAGCCACCCAGTCTACAGTACTTTGTTATAGCAGCCTGAGCTAAGATCATAGCACATGGAATATTTACACAAATACGTAATATTAATTTCTTAAAATTATCTTAGGGTTATTTCCTTTTTTGGCTATTATACAAAAAGCTGCTATAAATATTCATGTACTACTCTTTGTATAAACATATGCTTTTTTTTTCTCTTGAGTAAACACCTAGAAGTAGAATGGCTGAATGATCCAGTCGGTATTTATTTAACATTTGATAAGCTGCCAAATTGTTTTTCATTTTCCACTCCTTCCAGCAGTGTATGAGAGTTCTACTTCCTCTACAACCTGGCCAACCTTTGGCATGGTCAGTCTCTTAATTTTAGCTATTCTAATAGGTGTGAAGCAGAAACTTATGGTTTTAATTTGCATTTCCCTCATGACTAATGTGGATCATCTTTTGGGGCTCATTTGCCATCCGTACATGTACTTTGGTGAAGCGTTTTTTCAAATGTTGTGCTCATTTTTAAAATTAGCTTGTCTTAATATTGTTTATGTATTTTGGATACAGGTACTTTATCAGATAAATGCCTTGCGATTAATTTTTCCCCATTGTCTGGCTTTTCCTTCCATTCTGTTAGCAATGTCTTTCAAAGACCAGAAGTTTTAATTTTGACAAAGTCCAGTTTACCAATTTTATCTTTAATGGAGTGTGTTTTTGGTGTCATATCTGAAAAATCATTGCCTAGCCCATTCAAATTTATACATTATATACTCTTCTGTATACATTATTCTTTGATTAAAAATTTAAAAAAGTCAGTCCTTAATTATGTTTTCTAATGAGATAACCAATTTTATGACAATTCACTGTATGATATTTTCTAGACTACATTGCAAAGAAGAGTGGATGACAGCTGTACTATCCACATTACAGCTGAATTAGCTACAATTAATATTATAACCAACTAGCTCTTAAGGTCATGAGTAGACTTTCCTCATTCTACACCAATATTCTTATTACTAACATTGGACTATAAGACCCAACTGCCACTATTATGCTGTATGATATTTTTTTTTAAAGATTTTATTTTTTCCTTTTTCTCCCCAAAGCCCCCCCGTACATAGTTGTATATTCTTCGTTGTGGGTCTTTCTAGTTGTGGCATGTGGGACGCTGCCTCAGCGTGACTTGATGAGCAGTGCCATGTCCGTGCCCAGGATTCGAACCAACGAAACACTGGGCCGCCTGCAGCCAAGCGCGCGAACCTAAACACTCGGCCACGGGGCCAGCCCCCATGCTGTATGATATTTTATGTGGTAAAGACTGCAACAAAATCAATATATCAATATTAGAGGCGAACGCTTATTTCAAAGCAGTATATTTTCTACCTTTAACATTTCCATCAAGTTCTTCATGACATCATTTTCAAATAAACTCAGAATTCTAAAGAATATTACCTGTGTGACTGTCCTTGAGGTGGGACTATTCAGTTTTTCTGCTGATTTCATGTCAGGTAGAATCATCGCAGTTCTTGAAACAGCCATTCTGCTTTGGTTTGCACCAAAATATCCTCTTGTTTGCGTTGCCTTTACCTTACCAGGAAAGCTAATGGACTTCGGCTGTGAGGTAATAGTCCTATAGGAGGAAAAGAAAACATAATACAGAGGATCCACAATTGAAGAAAAACTAACCAACAATAAAAAAAAGACACATTCAGAAACATGAAAAAATCTAAAGTATAAACAAGAAATAATAGCTACTTTAGAACTGTGTGTAAGCATAGAATGTTTCCATGCATTATGTCACTTTTTCTTCAACATAACTTTAAGAGGTTGCTATTAATATTATTTTACATAAAATCAAGAGGCTTGGAGGGAAACATTCCTATTAGTGTGGAAATTTGAACCCAGGCAGTTAGGTCGGAAGTCTACACTGATTTCTCCGGGTCTCAGTTTCCTTATCTGTACGGTGAGGATAATAATAATAGTACCTACCCATAGGTTATTATGAGGACTAAGTGAATTAATTTATACACTGTTGCTAGGAAGTGCCCGGCACACAGTGAGCACAAACAAGTACAGAGTGCAGTTAGATAGACAGATTGAAGCATGAGTAATAAAACCTGGGAAAGAATATCATGTTCCTGCGTGAACAATTACACGGTAATGTTTTTTTTTTTGAGGAAGATCAGCCCTGAGCTAACACTACCGCCAATCCTCCTCTTTTTTGCTGAGGAAGACTGGCCCTGAGCTAACATCCATGCCCATCTTCCTCCCCTTTATATGTGGGACACCTGCTACAGCATGGCTTGACAAGCAGTGCTGGGTCTGCACCCGGGATCTGAGCCAGCGAATCCCGGACTGCGGAAGCAGAATGTGCGAACTTCACTGCTGTGCCCCTAGGCCGGCCCCTACATAGTAATTTTTAATAAGAAGAGAAGTTATAATCAAAATGTTTGTCTCCAGCAGAAAAAACACGATTTCACTTTTGGCTCTACTCTCTCAATTCCTTAAGACAAAAACCCACCTTATCATTCATTCTAGTAGTCTCATTATACTGTGGATTTCTATAAAACGAGGATGATCTTCCCTTATGTTATAGAAATGAAATACGTTTCCAAAGAAAATATTTGTAACAATACTTTTATTTTTCAAATCATAAAAGATCAGACAGGAACAAAATATTTTTAAATGACTACAATCAATCCTCTATTCATATTTTATTTTTCTTCACAGCCTTTATTATCACTTGGCACTTTGCTGTTTTTCCATCCTCATCTTTAGGGCCAGAACCTTGTTTTGTTCATTGCTGTATCCTTAGCACCCAGGATAGTGCCGAGTATATTGTGGGCAGTAAATAAGAATTTTAAAAATAAATGAATAAATGAATCCCATTCATGCCCTATTTCAAATTTACATTCTTTTTAAGTATCCTACTCTATTGTTCCTCCTTTAGTCTCTAAATGACTTTACTCCAACATCTCTAAGAAAATAAAAAGGATCAATCAGGTAAAAACTCCTTAAATAACTTCTCCACTTTCATTATATTCTTCTTTCATATCCTACAAACTCACCTAAATCCATCCTTTTATTTTCTTCCTTGTTCAGCAAAAGAATTGCCATTCTCATCTAAGGCTAATCTTGCTACGTGTGCTCTGAAACCTGTCTCCTACTGCTTTCTCAGGGACTCTTCTCCATCGATAATTCCCTGTCTCCTCCATCTCATTTCCTATCTTTTTCCCTGGAGCATGTAATTGTACTCCAGTCATCCCCTCAACTTAGAAATCTTTCCTTTAGCTATGTCTTCCTCTATCTACTACTATATCTCTCCTTCCTTTCACAATATTCGTCAATAATACTGTCTACTTCCTCACTCCTCTTATTTGCTCCGTAATTCAGTGTGATCTAGTTCCACCCTCTCCTCCCCCACTGCAAAGAGACGACTTTCACTTAAATCACCTAGTGCTCCAAATTGTCAGATCCAAGGGACTCTTTTCAGGACTTATCTTTATAGCATCTGACAGTTCACCATTCCCCCTTCTACTTAAAATTGACTTCTCCAATTGGTTCCTGTGACACTGCCGTCTCCTATTCATCAGCCTCCTTGGAACCTCTAATCACCTGAACTTTCCATTTTCTATCAATTAATCAGGACCTTTTAGGTTTCTCTTCTTTCTCTATTTAACACAAAATCCACAATTCATCCATTGAATCACTCTTTTCCCATAATTTTCAACTCTTATTTTCTTTCTCCTTGACCTTCTGTCCTACTATCCTTACAAAATCCAGCCCTCCCATTCTTTTTATTTGAAGATTACACTTAAGCTTAAACCTCAGTTATCTGTTTTTTCACTATATACACTATCCCAGAGTAAATTTAACAAAACTCATGGTTTCAATGACTACTTGTATTCCACTTCCTTATGGCAGTCCACAATCATCACCAGCACCTCCTCTCTCCCATCCCCTGAAGATTTTATGTCCTCAATTACTGACTTTCTCTTCAAAACTACTCCTGGCATAATTCCTGAGTACTTCAATATCCATGAAAGTAATCCTAATACCATGGGCTCTTAGCTCCTCAGAGTCTTCTCACGTAAATGATCTTGTCCTCCTTGTTACATCAGCTACTTATTCCCATGGTCATACATTTGACCTTGTCCTTAGCAAGGTCAAGCATCACTTCCTATTTTCCTAGCTTATACACCCTCTTAACCCCCAGCTTCAACCATCCTTCAATTCTATTAAGACCTTCGAGCTCTTGATTCTACATTTTACACCCTCACCCACACCTCTCATGCAATCTCTTCTCTTTTGAGCTTAAGGTTAATTAATAGAATCCATAGTTAATTATTATAATCACATCTTATTTACACTCTCACCCCTCTTTTCCTTCTTTAAATACACTGTACTTACTGGCCAAACCAAAACTTTGATTACTTCCAATTATCTTCTTACTTTAAGCCTGCACATATGTATTAACCATGTTTCTTTCATTTCCGATTTTATTTCGTTGAACCTTCTCTCCTTTTTTCTTGGTGAGTCTAGCTAAGGGTTTGTCAATTTTGTTTATCTTTTCAAAGAACCAGCTCTTGGTTTCATTAGTTTTTTCTATTTTTTTAGTCTCTATTTCATTTACCTCTGCTCTGATTTTTATCATTTTCTTCCTTCCATGGTTAATACATATGTGCAGGGGTAGGATTGGCTAGTTTGAATAATTTCAGTGGGTTCTGGGGCATAGAGGCCATCCCTAGTTGTCTCTATCTGGCTGTAGAGTGATTAGGAAAGGTGTATAGTGGCCTAGAGTGTGAGAGCCAGATAAGGGAGGTGGTTGAGGGGTGGACTATGCTTCAGTTGGTTTATATTGGAAAATTTTGGCCCCTAGTGGGGGCGAAGGGCAACCAGGGAAGCAGGAAGCCAAGGCAAGGTGACTCAGGCAGATCAGGTTGTCCATGTCCATGTTGGACCTATGCATGCAGGGCAGATGTTAACGCATCAAGTTTACAGAGGCTAGAAAGGTTTTTCTTAAAGATTGGCACCTGAGCTAACAACTGTTGCCAATCTTCTTTTTTTTTTCCTGTTTTTTTCTCCCCAAATCCCCCCAGCACATAGTTGTGTATTTTTTTTTTTAGTTGTGAGTCCTTCTAGTTGTGGCATCTGGGATGCTGCCTCAACGTGGCCTGACAAGTGCTGCCATGTCCGCACCTAGGATCTCAACCAGCTCAAGTCTGGGCCGTCGAAGTGGAGCGTGTGAACTTAACCACTCGGCCATGGGGCTGGCCCTAATTCATATTTTATATTATTGGATTCTATTTACTAATATTTTGTTGAGGATTTTTGCATTTATGTTTATGAGAGATATTAGTCTGTAGCTTTCTTTTCTTGTAATGTCCTTGGCTGTTCTCATCTTACTTATCAGCAGAATTTACCCAAATCATCATTCTTTTTGCTTTGACTTTGTTTTCTTTAACTTGGATTGCAGGATACTTCCCTTACCCAGATCTCCTTCTACTTCTTCTGCAGTGTTCCTCCTTGGTCTTCTCATTTCTGTCTATACTCATAGCCTAGGTGAATTCATCCAATGCCATGATTTAAATGCCATCTATATAATAATGACTCCCAAATATATATCTCTAATGGACGGCTCATGTGAATCCTAGACCCACATATCCTTTTGCCTGCTCGACATCTCTAACTCAAAATTAGCATGTCCAAAACTGAGCTCCTCACAACCTTGCCCTCACCCTGTCCGGCGAACCTACTCCTCTTAGTCTTTCTCCGCTTTTGTTAAAGGTAACAAATTCTTCTAGCTATTCTTTGAGCTATTCTTCCAGTTTCTTGGGTGAAAAAACTTCAAAATATATCTAGAATCCAACCTTCAGAACCACTCTGTTGCCACCATCCTGGTCCAAACACTATCCTCTCTTTCTTGGAAGTTGCAGTAGCCTCCTAACTCATCTTCTCGCTTCACCTCAATCCTTTGAAGTCTGTTCTCTACACCACAACCAGAGTCATTCTTTCAAACACAAGTTGATCATGTCGCTACTCTAGTTGAAACCCTCCATTCATTTCCCATCTCATTCTGAGTAAAAGCCTAACTTGCTACTATGACCTAAAAAGTCCTACGTGCATCCAGTAGGGCTCTAACTTCATGATCACTGCTCTCTCCCCTGTTGACTCTGCCCCAGTCACATTGGTCTCCTTGGTATTCCTCACACATGCCAGGCATATTTCCGTATCAGAGCCTTTGCCCTTGCTGTTCCCTTTGCCTGGAATGGACTTCTCCGTACATGCACATGCTTAGCATCCTCACTTCCCTCAGGTCTTTACCTAAAACCACCTTCTTAGTGTGGCCTACCCTGGCTCCCCTATCTAAAAATGTCAAATACATCTTAAATCTTCATATCCCCTTGCTTTATTTTTCTCCTTGGTACTTCTTACTAGCTAACATAATGTTATCTTTTACTTATTTATCTCGTGAATTAGCTGTTCTCACCCTGCCCCCTAATTAGATCTAAGTTCCATGAGGGTAGGGATTTGGGGCTATTTTGTTCCCTGCTATACCCCTATTGCCTACAATAGTACCCAAAACACAGTAGCTGCTTAATAAATATTTGTTGAACGAATGAATAATCCCAAAATCATTATATTCAACTAAAAAAATTCTCTCAGTCTTCATGCTTGAATGTTTACCAGGCTACTGGTTAGCTCCAGCTACATGTCCACCAGACATCTCAAACTGAACACAGGCACAATGAAACCCTACCACATTTACTCACAACCCAGCTCCTCCTCTTTTATTCCCTACAGGAACCTAAAGGGAAATGAATTAGCGAATGATGTGACACTTATCAGTTATGTAGTTACTGGGATCTTATGAGAGAGCATTCTCAGTAAACTCTCAGAAACCTTGACTATAAGTTTTATGGGAAGGGGCCATGTTTATCACATCCAACATTATAGTCCTGGCTCTTAGCACTCTGCCTGATAGAGTGGGAAACTAGAGATGGAAAGCACAGACTACTTTCTTAAAGAAATTAAAAGAAGTACCTGTAAACAATTATGTTAGAAATTTATGGTACCTATCTAGCTATGTTAGAAAACAGATGTTTTCAACAGCAACAAATTAGCAGGCAATAAAGAGGTTGACTTTCAAGAGGAGATAACCACTTTGAAAGTTTTGCCCAAAAAACAGTCATGATACAAGAGGTCACGTAGCTGTACATTCTTGAGTTTCCTGAAGCAGGGACCTAAGTTGTTTGGTTCCCTCCTGTATCTTCAGTATCTAGGGTGGTAACTAGAAAATATAAGGCATTTAATTGGTATCCGTGGAATGAACACCTGATGATCGTTTCTATGAAAAAACCAGCAAATGACATTAAAAGCATGCTACACATACATAAATCTCACTATGAAATATCAAGATGAACAGTAGGGAGTGGCTTAAGAAAAAGTTTCACTATTACCTCCTTCTTATTTACATGGGATGAAGGTAATTCCAATCTAAACCAAATCAATTTCTTCCATTCATTGAACAGTTATTTACAAAACACTTACTGTACATAAGGCTCTGTACTACATGCTGGAAGGGATACAATATGAACCAGACATGGGCCCTAGGGAGCTTACAGTCTAACAAAAACAACTAAAACATGCATATGATTATAATGCAAGCACAAAATTATATTTACCTCAAAAGAGGTACACATAAGATGAAATGAGTTGTGGTAGAGGTTACTTTGGGTGAGAGGAGTGAGCAGAGAAATCATGAAGGTGACTAAGTTAGGCCTTGATTGTAGGTCGAACGCAAAATGAGCGTATGGGGTGTGTACGTATACGTGTGTTTGTATCTGGTGCAGGTGGAGGTGAGGGAGGACAGAACAGGAAACACACGCTGAGCAGAGATTACTGTGAGCAATGAAGGGAGAAAAGCAGGTAGGAAATACAGGGAATCCTAAATGATTGAATTAGATGCATGAAGGAAAACAAAGCTTCAGCTTTGAAAAAATAAAACAGCCAGGCTAAGTCTTTGGAATTTATACACAAGCAAGGTTTCTGAGCAGAATAGTAAAGTGATCAAAACTATGCTTCAGGAAAATTTAGTGGAACACAGAACACACTAGAAACAAGAAGACCCTTCATTAAGATGCTATGAAAGCGGTCCAGATGAGTCGTAATCGAGGTTTAACCTTGGGTGGCAAATGTATAAACAAAACAAATGCAAGATATAGCAGGTATTAAGCATGTCTTTTTATTTTCCGTATTTTGATGCTGACATTTAGAGTTGCTGATCCTGGAGGGACTGCCCCTCCCAGGGCTAAGCGATCCCATACATTGTCCAGAGGCAAATCTTTCAAATGCAAACCAACCAATCCAGACCCATACCCTCAATCACCTCCTTTATTGGCTCTCATAGAAATCTCACTCTCAGCGCCACTATCTGCCTGCCCTAATCACCCCAGGGACAGGAACCAGACAACTAGGGCCAGTCCCTATGCCCAGAGCCTTCTGAAATTATTCAAAGGAGCCAATCCTAAACTTGAGAGTCAGATGAGTTTTTAAAATTTACATGAATTCAACTTAATTTTACCTTGAGATTTCCACACCTACAAGTAAAAACAAAAACCAGACAAGATGAGCAGCAACCGATGTTACTGATGTACATACTCATTCATTCCTTCAGTCAGCAAATATTTATTGAGCACCTTCATTCTAGGCAACAGCAGGGAACCAAACAGACATCTCCGCTCCCATGAACTACCACAGAATTGGGTGAAGACAGATTAACACACGTGTAGAACATAACAAGTAGGGATAAATTTTATGGCGAAAAATAAAGCAAGGGTGAGGACTTCGAAGCGCTCCAAGGAAGAAGTATTATTATTTTACGTAGGGCGGGTTAGAGAAGGACTCTTTGACAAGGTGACATCTGAAGTGAGTCATGAGATTAGCTGGGGGTACGATAATCCAAAGGACAGCAAAGGCACAGGCCTTGAAGTGGGAAAATAACGTGCCTGACATTGTTGTGGAACAATACTGAGTATGATTAGGCAAGGGGAAGAGTCCAAGGTGAGATCCTGCCGGGCCCTGTAAGGATGTGAGCTTTTACTGAGTGAAATGGAAAAAATCGCAGGAGGGTTTTGAGAAGAGACACAGTGATGACTATGCTGAAGGTGCTGGCAGGAAGGCCATTTCGGTGGTTACTGCAATGTGACAGTGACTCACACCGGAGCGGTAGTCTGGATTTATTTTGCAGGCAGAAATGGTAGAATCTGCTGATGCAGTAGGGTATTAGAGAAGTCAAGGGTGACTCCAGGCTCTTTTACTGATTAAGTGGAAGGGTGGAAACTGCCACTTACCGAAATGCAAAGGACTGCAGAGTAGATTAGAGTGGGAACTCAGTCCAGTTTGGGATATGAATTTTGAGATGCCTATTGACTTCTAAGTGCAGATGTTTGGGTTTTTTTTTAAGTTTGTTTTCTTGGGAGACGTGCTGGCTAGAGATACAAACTCGTGAATCATCAGTATATAGGTGATTTTTAAAGGCAGAAGGCCACAGGTTTACGAAAAAAGAGAAAAGATTTAAAGACTGACCTCAGCAACATCTCAACAGTTCGATACGGGAGAGATGAAGAGGTATCAACCAGCAAGCACTATTTTGAAAAGGAGTAGCCACAAGCCACGGGGAGAACCAGGGAAGAGTCGTGTCCCAGAAACCAAATGAAGTGATTCAAACTCCAGAAGTGATAAACTAGATCGAAGCTCCCGATGGGGGACTTAAGAACGAAACTGAGCAACGGCCATTGCATTTAGCGGGACAGCTATGCTGACCTTCATTCACAAAGGCTACTTCGCTGCAGCGGGCAGGATGGACAACAAACCTGAGTGCCACATTCAAGAGAAAGTGGAAGGTTCTCTCCCAAGAACGTGCAACGAGTTCTGCCAAAGAAAGATTAGCTGAGCTGGAGGAGATTGGAAAGGAGAGATGCTGACGGTTTGAGAAGAGAACCAAAGTGGTCCGGAAGCGTGCGAGAGTGGACGAATGAGGGGGCTTGAACGGAACTGCTGGGCAGCACTCGGGGCCCATTTGAAGTTAGAAGCGAGACCAGTCCGCAGAGCTGTGTGCGCTCCTCCGGCCTCTCGTTCCACCGCTGCACGAACAGCAAAGCAGAATCGTAAGCAGGAGTGAGTTTAAGGCAGGAGGGGGACGAAAAAACCTCGACTAGAGAGCACAGCGATGTTCAGCCTGGCGGCTCACGGAGAGGACTGAGCATCTGGGCACAGCAATGGAAGCAACAAGCTTGAGACTGCAGCCCGAAAACAGCCAGGAGAGGCAGGAGGAAGGGCGGTGCTAAACGAACTAGGTCTTCTCTCCGAGGGCAGGCACAGCAGCGGGGTCTGAAGACGGCCGTACGGGCCGAGGAGGGAGGCACTGCCGCCTGGGAGCTTCGAGGGCTGCTGCCTCAAGCCGGATGCGGGAGGACAAGGGCGCGGAGAGGGCTCCGCCGGGACCGGGGGATGGACGCAGGTGTGAGCGCCGGCACTTACTGCCCGAGGGTCGGCCGACTGCGGCTGCTGACCGGGGAGACCGGCATGGTGGCGTCGGACGGCCTCCGGAGCCCGCAGCCCCAGACGCGGCGTTGGCGGCGCGGGCCGGGGCGCGAGGATGCTTGCCGGGCGCCATGGCGACGGCGCCGCGGCCCAACAAGCGGCCGCGCGGTTGGCTGGCGGCGGGCGGCCGCGGAGGAGGGCGCAGGCGGAGGGGAGGGCCGAGGGTTGGTGGAGCGGGAGGAAGCTGCGGACGACGCCGAGGAGGAGGAGGAGGAGGCGGCGGCCGGGCCCAGGCCCCTCCCAGGCTCCGAGTCTCCCGGCTGCAGGCGGATGGATGGGGCTTCTCCAGGCAGCGGCGGCAGCAGCGGAGGCGGCGGCGGCGGCGGCAGCGGCTGTAAGTGCAGCCTCCACACCCCATCCCTGCCCTCCCCGCCCGGCGTGCGCCCGGGGGCTCCCGAGCTGTCGGCGGCCCCCTTTCTCCCGTCCCCTCCCCCACCGCGGAGCGCCGCCCGGAAGACCCTCGATTTCCGGGGAGGGGCGGAGAGAACGCGCCCTGCTCGTCCCCCGCCCCGGAGGCGCCGGCTGCCCGCGGCGCATGCGCAGCTCCCTCCGCCGCCGCCCTCCCGCCCGGTCCTGGCTCTGCGGCGGCGCCCGCTGCGGAGGGAGCTCGCCTCGCCCCGTTGGCTTCCGCCCTGGCTCCTGTCGGCCGGGACCCCGGCGGGTGGGGCTAAGCTGACCAGCCCCCTGTGGCTCCGCCTCTTCCCCGGTGTCTCGGGTTCTGTCCCAGCCCCGGGAGGCTCCTGCTCGCACTGCAGCCCTGTGGTGAGCAGGGTCCCGGGCAAAGCGGCCCTTTGCGGAGGGAGCGAGGGAGGGAAGGGCGATTCGAAGAGGGCCTCCCAGCCCTGGAGGATCCCTGTGGACAGATGCCTCCCCCGCCTTTGAATGGCCTTGTTCTTCCAGCCTTTAGTGGAAAGGTCTCTGGCCTGGAGCCCATCTCTGGTCCTCGCTTGCCGTGTGACCTTGGGCGAGTCACTACCCCTCTCTGGGCCCCAGTGATCCCTAAAGCTTCCTCCACTGCTAAAACTCCTGATTTTGCAGAAAAGCTTATGCAGATGCGAGACTGGCCCGTCCACTGAGGTCGCTTAGCCGAGATGACCCAGAGTTGACCGAACCTTCTTTCTTCAGTCATGGGTGGAAGGAGGCAACCTACTTACTGGGTCGCTTTTATTCCTTTACCGTCGGTTGCAGATTGCATTACTCCAGGCTCATTAATGTTTTTCTAAAATCGTCATGGGATCCTTGTCCTAATTCCTGGCCATCTTTTTAAAAATTAGCGACAGGGTGACTGGTGAGCTGTGGTCACGGTCTCCGGTCTCCTTACTACTGAGGCTCTCTTTCCTTTGATCCAGATGGTGTGGTGGCTCGATTCTCCCAGTGCCTGGCTGAGTTTCGGACGTGGTTAAGAACCAACTGGTTGAGGTTCAATGCAGACAAGACGGATGTGATGCTGGTAGGCAGGGGCACACTTGGAGATGAAGGGAGGGAAAATCCGAACTCCCTCAAGCAATATAAATACTGTATTACTCTTCTTATATGTTCCAGTGTTTGAGAACTGCTGATGGGCCGATAATTGCCAGAGTTTGGGTGAGATAAAAATAATGTCAACAATATAAGAACCCTAAGAATATCGGTTTGTGATAATCTGATAAAATGGGGCCACTGGGTAAAACTCTTTATGTAAAAATTATTAAAAGAGAAACCAAAACTGTTCTTTGAACAACCAAAAGGCTATATAAGTGTTTTAGGGTGGCGTTAATAAAAATCAAACTAACAAAAATGACGATGCTGATTGTCACATAGCTGTGGAGCTTCCAAAGGTAACGCGTTACTGCTTTAACCTGCAATCTGCCTGTTAAAGGTAAACTCTCTACTTGGCTAAAAGGTCGTTTTTAAAAATAGGGGAAGCTTTTTGGTATTTAGGTGTTTTTCAACCAAATTACTAGTTATCTGTAAATGTTTACCTGCATGTCATGTGTAGGTTGTCACTTTTAAATAAAACTTTGGGGAAATAGTTTACAAAATAATCTCAAAAGGGACTCAGGGACTCTGAAAATTGTTAGATAGAGAATTTGGTTTTAGGGTTTTGAATGTGCTGTATTAGTCTGTTTCATTCAAACAGCCCCAGAGTCGAAATTGTTACAGGTATTTTCTTGGTAGACTTTGAGAGGTAACTTTTTGAGTTGCATAACAGATGTGTTTATATAGCATAGGTATATATTACTTACATTTGAATCAGGTTGGTACTGAATAAAAGGTTTTATTTCTTAGGTATATGTAAATTTCCAAAGAAGTTTGTTTATTGGTCGGTTTAAGATACTGGTTGAAGTAAAATTGTGACCTTAAAATGTTTTGTTAATAGCAAAATAACTCTGAGGGGTGTGTGTGTGTGTGTGTATGTGTGTATTATACCCTCTGTAAAATTGTTTAGTAACTTTTTAACGGAGCATTCGGTAAATTGCTTAAAAATTATTTCCCAATATAATAGCAATTTTGAGTAGCTTAATGTGGTAAAAGTTAATGTGAGTTTGCCTGAAAATAAGGAAGCATTTAGGTGGGGAATGGGAGCTAAAGAGGCATTTATTCAGGCTTTGTATAGTGATTTGTTTTGCTTTGGGACATTAGCCGCAAGTTTCACATAAAATTGGAATTAAACCACACTTTTTAGTTTAACTTTAAATGTTTCGCTACACAATCCTAACAGAACCACCATTTTGGGTTTCACAGTACTCAGGACTATAAACTGTGATAATTTTAAACAGCTCATAAGTGATGGTACATTTCCTCACGCCTTTAACTCTGTCATGTCCTGTTTTCAGCTCTTCTAGTATCAGTAGGCTTTAAAGATTTATTTTTTGTCAACCCAAGTATAAATTTTAACTGTTTATATTTGAATACAAAGAAGACATCTGTTGAATTAATGGAAAGTGCTGAAGAACTCAGGGAAATGAATGGAAGTAACAAGGAAGTAGACTCTGGTTTAATAAAAAGAAAAACGTTCCAGACATTAGAGCTTTTTTAGAAAACAGCAGCCTCTTGATGAGTCCGTGAGTCACTGGAGGTGCTTGAGCACAGGCAGACAAGCCTGGTAGTGGGGAAACATCGTGAGGGATTCCTACTAGACACGGTAGAAAGTGACTAAAGACCTCCGAGGTCCCATCCAACGCTAAGGTTCTATGGCTAAGGAATAGTTAATTTTTACGTATTTGGTACTGGAGAGGTAAGCAAGCGTTTTGAAAAAGACTTTGCTTTCCTTGAGGTGGCTCCTAAAATTTTTGAAGATAAATATGTCACTAGAAATAAAGGAGAGTAGAACTATACTGAATTTAGTAGTAATGTGTTACTGATGACTTAGAATATTGGAGCTGTTTCTCTTTACCTTGAGAATATCTGAACCTAAAAGAAAACTACTGAACCCACATTTATGAAAAAGGGGAGGAGAAGAATGCACAAGAAGTTTTTTCCCCTAAATGATAATGCCACCTAAAATTAGTAAAATTGATACACAATATTAGTAAACTTAAAAGTCATTTATCAGTAAGATGGATACCCATTCAAAGATGTCTCAGACCTCGATTCTCCTATTTCAGAATTCATTCAGTAGCTAAAGGGACCGTGATACCCAGCTTTTTATCACAACTAGGATTTTTGTTGAAGGTTTAACTAAAGAATCAAAGATTAAATGGGCTCAAGCAAGCTAGTTCCTCCTGTACCTTGCATGTTGAGAACACTTTTTAATTTTCATTTTGGTAACCGGCTAAATTTCATGTATTAGCTTTCATATTCCAATGGGAAATCCTCCTGCATCCCCATGGTACTATAAAGCCTGAGTTTCTACCTCTAGGCCCCCTGTTCTTTTTATGTTTACCCACTTCAGGTCTGTGCACGTCCATGGTTTTTTGCCTTCAGCTGTTTCCATCAAGCATCTCAAAGTGAAAACTATTTGAATATGAACTGACTTTAAAAAAAAAGTCAGTTTTATTTCAAGTCCAAAGGACTAAGGTAATTCAACAGGGGTAACTCTTGGGAGCTATATACCTATGCTAAAATATTTATTCCCCCAAGAAATCCTGAAAAAACACTTTTATATAAGTAGTCTAAGAAATAAGATGAAAATACTGTACAGTACAGTTAATGGTAAAAATTGTTTGTAGATTTGGGAACCTTAAAGTTTTCCTTTCTCTTCTTTCTCTTGCTTTTCTTTCAGTAGAAAATGTGCATCAGATGTTTATGTTTAATTGGTTTACAGACTGTCTGTGGACTCTTTTCCTGTCAAATTACCAGGTAATGTCCTTTCACTTAGCAGCTACTTCATAAACCTGTTAATGCACAAATTATTCATGCGCAAGTTATTACTGGATGTAAGAATTCCAAGTTAATGTTGAATCTTTGGAAATAGGAAACTGCTTGATAGAGTCTAAAATTTTAAGAGAATACAAATAACTTAAGAAAACAGCCTTCCCCATATTGCACTGTAAGTTAAATATTAAAGAAAAAGTGTGTATGTGCACATTTATGCAACATATTGTAGTGCTGGCTTCACATTATTTTGATGGAATGAGTAAGTTTCATGTTTAACTGTTTGATTTTGGTAGTCATTTTTGAAATTTCATCAAGAGGAAGGGACCCTTGAACATTTGGGGAAAAACTGTCTTTTTGAAATAAGACTTTTGACTCCTGGTTCAGTAAAATATGTTAGTGCACGTTTTAATATCACCTTTGCATTAGCCGGTATCCGCCTTAGGGATGGAGGGGAAGCGTGTTTGTTATTTTGCCCTCATTGGCTCTGGCAATCATCAAGGCTCTCATTGGCATCGAGACCAATTGGTAGTTCTAGGCCAATACATCAAAATAAACTTTCAAATTGCAGGCATTTCAGGCATTGCAAATAAGCAGGTTCTCTCTCCATGCAGTCAAGTCGGCGATTATACCCATGCAAGAGCAGCTTTTCAGTATTTCACATTTAAAAATTTTTGCTAGTTGTGCAAAATTCAACCGTTGCACCATTGTGTTGCTACTGGCATCTCGGAAGGTGTGTGAGGAAAAGCAGATGAGCTCTGAGGATGGCAGACCGCCTAACACAACCCCTTTTCTTAAGCTCTGCTCGGACCTCCTGAGATTTTGGGATGCGGGATTTTACATCTCCTGTCGGGAGTCACCGAGACGGAAATCTTTGACAAGAGAGAACGGCTTTCAGAGAGCACTAGTTGCCCTTGTTGCATCACAGCAACATCCGTCTTCCAGCAGCTGCGCTTCCAAGAAGGCCTGCGTGGAAAAGAGAACGTGTCTTTCTCCCGGCGGCGGGAGCGCTCGCGCGGCTCCTCGGGCCCCCGCCCTGACCGCTGGTCCTCGAGCCCTCGGCCCGGCCGGCGGGCGGCTCGGCGCGGCGCGGGGATGCCCGGCTCCCGCCGCGCCTCGGCCCCGCCCCTCCGCGCTCCCGGGGGGGCCTGCCGCGGGGCCGCGCCCTGCGCCCGCGCGCGCCCCTCCCCGCCCTCCCGCCCGGCGGGCGCGGGCGCCGCGAGGGGGCGGAGTGGGGCGTGGTGGGCGCGCTCGGGCGGCGCCTGCGCGTCCCCGCCGAGGCAGCGGCGGCGGGAGCGGCGGAGACGGCGGCGGCGGGAGTCCCGTTGCCGAGTCTCACATCCGGGTTCTGGCCGTGACCCAGCGGCTGCCGCCGCGGAGATGTGACCCGTCAGTACGGCAAACATGGCGGAGGTAAGGGAGCGAGCGCCCCCGCCCCGTCCCGGCGCCGGCGCCCAGGCCGCCGGGGGGCGCGGGGTGGGCCTGGCTGGGAGAGGCCCGGCCCTGCGGCGCCGCTGCCCACCTGTTGTCCGGAACAGGCCGCGCTCGGCGGGAGCGTCCCGGGAACTTAGTTGGGCTGCGCGGGGGTCGGGGAGCGGCGGCGCAGCTGGACTTCGGGGGCAGTTCGGGGGTCGGGCGCCGCGCAGGGGTGCGGCGGGGAGGGCGGGGGGCGCCCGCCGGGCAGGGGCGCCTGTGGCGCAACTTCGCCGGGCGGTGCGGGGCCGGGAGCGGAGCTGCTGCTTCCTCTTGAGCGAAGTTTCTTCCCTCGCGCCGAGATGCTCCTGCGCCCTTCCGCGTCCCCCCGCCGCTGACATCCAGGCCGTGTCGGGGGAGCGCGCAGGCCGGGCGGCCTCGGGCTAACGCTGCTGTTCCCGATGGGGATGGGGTGCGCGAGGAGAAGCCCCCTGGCCTTTCGCGGCCCACCCTCTAGTTTGGGGGGGTTCTCCCAATTTCTCCAACAGTTCTACCCCCCCACCCCCACCCCAGCTAGAACCTCTCTTTCCTACATTTCACAAGAGTTGCTTTCTACCCGCCCCCCCGCCTTAGTTTCCAGGGTTTTTGGTTTTTTTTTTTCCTCTTCCAAATCAAGGCTTGATTCTTGTCTTCTTTCTCCTCTAATTTCTCCCTACCTTGCTGAACAATTTCTTTTTCTTTTTGCTCGTTTTCTAGTAAGTGAGTACCCAAAGCCTCGTTTTTCCGGTGGTTTTTTACGTGTTTGGGCCTCAAGTCGGCGGGCAAACAGCGACTGTTATTAATTCGAACTTAGTATGTGCCACTAGAGGTTTAAGTTTTTGCTTCTGATTTAAACCTTTAAATGTCTGAAAATTTTTTTAGCTTTTTTTCCCCCTTATCCTTGGAAGGGTTTCATTAGTCTTTACATCCTGGAGTTCAAGAGGTGATATATTTGGACTTGTATGTCTCTTTTGAGTAGAGGCACTCTAAATGATTGATAAGCCGTTTCTCTTGTGTGAATTACAATTTTTCTGGTCTCGGAGGCACCCCAAAAACAGATTCAGGAAGTAGGTAATTTTATTTGCCATCCAGCCCCCAGTTTTCGTCTTCATGATTTGCTAAATGAGGTCAGTGGTGAGTACTTTCATCAATACCATAAATCTCCTTTTTAAACCTTGGAATACAGAAACATGGTTAAATTATAGAAAAATATTAATTTGGAGCACTTTTCATGTACCTGTTGATTGGAAGGACAAAAAGGTTAACTTTTCTGGAGTGGCTTTTAGGGGGCGCCTTCTGCTTCCCTTGTGGAAACTGGCTTTATATTTATGTGCTAGCGTATTTGCTGTTAAAGAAGTAGAAAGGTTTTACTGTAGCAGGGCTGTTTGCTGCCAATATTCTTTCTAACACATTTAATATTTCTGATTTAAAACTAAATTTACATCTTAGATTTGTTTCCATTTCCTTTGCTCTTTGAGGTTAAAGAATTATGTTTCAAGGCACGTGAGTTGGAGAAGACATAGTAGTTTGCATTTCACTTAAATGTGACTGGGTTTAGTCCACTGGGCTGAAAGAGTTTTAGTCCTGGTGAGGGTCTTAAGTGCTTCTTTCCTTCCTATGTGAGGGGGAAAGGGGGTGGACGTAGCTGGACTTCGATGTGTGTTGTCGGCCAGCCTTCAGTGGGTGCTGCTCTCAGTGAGAGCGCTTTAGATGAGCAGCAGTGTGCTGTAATGGTTGATGTGGCTGCTTCCCTCGTGGTGCTGCTGCGATGGTTTGAGCTTTAAGTTCTGTAGTCATATTTTAAGGCCAGATATTATTAAAGGAAAATACCTTAGTGTATAAAAATACAGTGAAATTTAAGTTTTAAAAACCTCACCCAGAAATTTTAACTGCCCGGCACAGTAGAAACTTAATATGTAAATGTAGTATATTAATATTTCGTTTCTTGTTTTAGAAATTAAAGATGGTTGCATTAATGTCAGAGAGGAAAAGCGATATTTTGAGTCACTAATCCATTTCCTAATATTTTCAAGTGCATGTTTTAGTTTTCTTGAAAGTTGCATCACTTGGAGGATGGAACTCATGTTCTGTAGGAACACATGGATGGTTCAATTCCAAGAAGGCAAAAAACCTGATTTTGTTCTCAGTGCATTTATTTAGTGACCTGGTATCTTTAAAAAAATTCGTCTTTTTATATTCAGTTCTTTGTAGATGGTTTTATTTCTAGTGAGTTTCGAGGAAGAGTGGAGGAACCCTCTTCATTTGTGTCCTACAGAAAAATCTAAAACAGGTGAAGAGGTGAAAAGTAAAATTAATTTATAATTTTCTGATCTCAATATTTTAGTAATTGGGATGGGTTTAGAGACTAATCACTTAAAAGAATAGATGAAGGAGAAATGCTTGGTTTATGGAGTGCTTTGGGGTAAGCTCTCGGGAAATTCTTTCTTTGTGATGCCAATATAAAGCATGTGGTAAAATAATTCACATGCTGTGCTACCGCACTTCTGCTTAAGTGGACCTGAGGATTGAAGTTAACTGGTGGAATGACAGTCTGTGGAAAGCAGCAATATGCATTTACTCGATAAATCTGAGGGGAAAACAGGTTATTGAAGAAGCATGTCTCCAGAGAAAAATCTAGGTATTATACTTCTGGGAGGTTTTGTTGTTTCTTGTATGGGAGAATGACCCTCACCTTGTTTTTCCAGAAAAATACGTAATTCTTGAATACAAATTGCTTTAGATGTGAATAGAATATACTAATTTTTCATGCTTGATCTGTTCATCTTAGTCAATCCATAATAGGAACAACGTATTTAATGATTTTTCAAATTGAGGTAACATTAAAAACGTATTTAATGTGCTTAAATGACATATGCTCCCCTTCTTAATACTTTTGGGTGATATTTCTCATTGCTTATTATCCCTTAAAATTATTTATCAACCTTCTAAAAGGAGACTCTCCTAGTCACACTAAAGGAAGGAGATGACAGGATAGTCACAGTTTTACGAATGCAGTGAGAGAGAGAGGAAGACATAGTTGATCCTGTGGGTTTTGTAAGGAATGTGGTGTAGGGACCTTTGGGAACCAACAATTTGTCTTTTATTTTGGAGTTTGTAAACTCATAAGGGACTTTCTTCTCAGGGAAAAAAAGCCACAGCATAATGCAAGATCTTTCTTTTCACCTCGGCCATATTGCTGCCATATAAAGAGAAGAAAATTTAATGGACTTGCTTTTCTGTATTAGTTTTAAGTATTTTAATATTTCCAGAAATGATACATAATCTGTTTATTCACTATCATTTCTATCCGTTCCTCTTAAAAACAGACTCCTTGCTTGCTAGCATTTTTTGAGTGTATTTGGAATTTGTATTTTAAGGAAATAGGATCATCCGGACTGTTATTCTTGATAGTGTTGATGTCTGCTCTAAACAAAACTGGTTTCACTGCAGTGAATTTAGGCCTTAAATAATGCCCTTTACTGGCAAGGAATTTTTTTTAGTATGTATACTTCAGAACTATTAAGGATTTACCT